AATCCTGTCAACAATGAAAAGAAAAATGAAACTGAGTGGCTATTTTGTTTCTCCAACAATGTTGCAGTCTGTGGCATGGCTTAGTTTTTCTGTTTTTGAAAGAAGTCTAAAAGTTGAAAATTGAAAATTGCAATCAATTTTCAATTTTTGTTTTTCGGCTAAAACTTTCCAAATCGTTGACAGAACTATCTCAGAGGGAGGGGGAGGGGTCCATTTGCATGGTTAATTTTTTTGCTCCAGCCTTGCTTCCTTCCCTGGGAAGTTGCGCTCTCTTCATCTGTCGCTTTGCGGTCTTTCACAACATTTGGGAACATTTTGTGAATGTTTTGTCTTTTCATGGCTTAGTTTTGTTGTTTTCAATGGAAGTCTGAAAATCGCAATCAATTTTCAGTTTTTTTTTTGGCTGAAACATTCCAAATCATTGACAGAACTGCCCCAGAGATTTTGTCTGTTGCCTTATCCCTTCATGATGGAGTACTCGTGTTTCGACTTTGATGTTTGGCTGGTTGGTTTCTCTCCAAAGAGAGTCTAAAAAGAGATTGAAATGTCCTTTCTCTTGATACCAGTTAATATGTCAGTTCCTTTTTTATGAGGATGTTAAAATGGAAGGCAAAACGCTTCCCTATGATGTGACTACTAGTGGAAACCCACAGAATGATAACTTGCCAAAGTCACGTTAGATCGGCCTGAGGAGCTGCCAAACAACAAAGAATACAACACAGCAACAGGGTAATAATAGACTTCTCAAGCAAAACAGTTGCATTCCCATACAAACCTTTATAAAGTCAAACCGTTGTAACACAACACTACCATATGCTGCAAGGCAAGAGTCATGTTTTGTGTAGTCAAATTCGTCGTTATGTAATAGTATATGCCATATGGCACATTACGCTGAACATTTGCATAAAGTGAAAAAAAAAGATAACTCCTAACATTGTGAGCTTTGGCCACCTGTGATCCATGTTTTACAATATGGTGCTTGAAAAGCTTGAGGAAGTCTTGATATGGTTACATCAGCCACTCCAGTTCCGAAAACTAAGACTTTTTTCCTTCTTGGCTAATGTTGAAGGTCTTGCTGCTCGCCATAATGGACAGAACTAAGCGACGAAAAGACACAAAATTCAGAAAACGTTTCCAAACATTGCGAAAGGCCGTGAAGTGACAGTTGAAGAGAGCACGACTTCCCAGACTGCTCTCTTTAGAAGGGAAGCCAGGCTGTGAGGAGGGGGCCTGGGGACAAACAATTTACCATGCGAATGGACCCCTCCCCCTCCCTCTGGGGCAGTTCTGTCAATGATTTGGAATGTTTCGGCCAAAAAACAAAAACTGAAAATTGATTGCAATTTTCAGGCTTCCATCGAAAACCGAAAAACTAAGCCATGCCACAGACTGCAACATTGTTGGAGAAACAAAATAGCCACTCAGTTTCATTTTTCTCTTCATTGTTGACAGGATTAAAGTAAAAGTATAAGTTCTGTTTCAATGTTCTATTGAAAGCAAAAAAGTCAAATATTTTTGATTTCGTACCTTGTTATTTTTTTATGATAAAAAATCATGAAAATCAAAAATTGACAACAATTTTCAATTTTTGATTTTAAACGCAAATTGAATGGACAAATGACCCAAAGACCTATTTACTCACAACTTTAGTTTTTTTTGTCGGAGTAATATGTTTCTTATGAAATTGTTTACACTTACAGGAAAAAAACACAGACTCTAAAAGGAGTTCATTTGTAGTGAGGACTAAGAAGGACACAGGTCACAATTTTATACTATGCACATACATTGTGTATATTACTGAAACAAGCATCTCCACAATGGTTCCATGAAAAATGTGTATGTAAAAAGTGCAAAAATCAAAGCTTTGAGATCAAGTGCAGAAAGAAAGTGGTGAGAGAGAGAGAGAGAGAGAGAGAGTAAACAAATTTGTCAACTTCTCAAAAACTTTCACTCAAACAATACTTTCAAATAATAATTAGAGTAAAATGTTCAAATTGGACCACCACTTCTTAATTACATATGAATATCTACAGCTCTTTTTCCTCTTGGGTTAGGAGTATATGTACAATGATAGTGTCTTTCCGCTTATATATTTTCAGAGAACTGCAGACAAGCTAACTCTTCCGTTGTGTTAATCACTCCCCCGAGTAAACCGGACACCCGTAAGTCAACGTTTGATTTCTTGTGATAGCTTTTTTCTCCACTTGTTCAAAATTTAATATCATTGTTTTTTTCATTTTAAAATATTGAAAAATTGTAGATACCCAATAATTCAATGTAAGGTCCACTTAATATTAATTTGTAGTCCACGGATTTAACAGCAAATATACAGTTGAATTCAAGCTCGCAATTTGATTCAATTCAATTGTGTTGGATATCGATCGATCAATTCTCGATCTGTGACCCTGAACATCTCATATTATTCTAACAACTTGACACGATGGTACAATAAATGGACGTTGGCTCACTAACCTTTACTTTCTTTGGTTGCAAGTTATCTTTGTCTCGTATTAAGAAATTGTTCTTTTTGCCGTTAGTCGCCAACCCGACAGCTTGTAATGTTCTGTTCTTTTCTCCATTGAGCACAACCTCTTCGTTGCCTTCTCCCAGACTTTTATTCCACACTAACAGGAAAGTGTCTTCTACATATTTGACTTCTTTAGCAACGTAAGAGTATAATTCTTTCACTAATGTAGAAGCTGGTAGATTAACTGTATGCTTGCTGTGTTTCCAGTCTGTAGTTGTTTCGTCTTTTACGATACACAAAACTTTCGGTTCGTCGGCCGGGCCGTTATTTTCTACTGGAACTACCTCTTTGGACGTTGCATTGACCATTCCTGGTCACAGAGATCCTCAAGAGAAATCTGATGGTTATTTTCGTTAGCAGAAAGACAACTTGCCAACAAACTCACCAAGGAAGTGAAAGTTCGAACAGCAGAATAATCGCGAAATGTGCCAAGAGCTATTGTCACCCAGTGGGGGAGGGTGATATCGTAGTCAAAGACAGGAACTCCTGTTTGTTATAATCTTGTAAGATTCAACTTACTTCTTAGTAATTGACATTAAAATGAGAACTTGCTGATCATTCGAGCAATATACTTGTTGTAACGTGAGTCAAAATGTAAATTAACGCTTTTGCTGAATTTATCTCCTCCCCAGAGAATGTTGTAGAAGTTCCCCCTGATTTAGCAACGCGCATATCTTTTACTTTTAGTGTCTGACCAGTGTTTCGCGGGCGTCATAGTGTTGTGATCGTGAAATGTGGAGTGATCGATATGTTGGGTGATGTACACGAGGGCCTGGATTTACCTTCGGAAGTCGTTGAGTCTGCTATTGTCCGGGGCAAATATGAGTTCTACCATTACAATGTGGATGGAATAGATGACAGGGTGAGTCATAGGTGAGTGTAGGACAATTAAGCAGTGAAGCTCAAAGGCTGTTTTTTAGCTTTTCGACTCCGTGTTATCAAATTTTGATCTAGAAATCCTGTGGCAAGATGGAACCTGAGTCAGAAAATGTTAGTAGATCAAAAAGCCAGAAGAAGACTTAGTGATAACACTGACACGACTTAGTAAATACACCGACACGTTAATAAAGTTTTCATTCATTCATTTATTCGTAATATTTTTTTTTTCCCGGCCAGAAAACATGAACATAGGCACGCAAGGCGTGCAAGAACACTTTTCCCTGAAGAAGAAATGACACACTTGGACAGTCTGTTGAAGTAGAGGGAAGCACTTGGACAGTCTACTTCAAATATTTGAAGCCTTAAGGCACTAGGAGAAGATTGCATGCATGCTAGGTTAAACAAATTCTTGATTCTGTAGCCGCCAAATTTGACTTCAACAACCTCGGAGAATGTTACTCATTGATCCCATTCCCACAGACCCCCCTAGAAGGGCCCTTCACCAAACCCTAGATCTGCTCCAGTCTGGGGACTTTGCTAATGGCCAGATATGGGTTGTAATCACTGCTTTATCACACTGAAATTATCCTCTGTTAATGTGTAGTGTTAAAAAAAGAAAATTTAAATTTGATTTAATACAAAATTAATTTATCATACTGCACATTTTTTATTGAAGGGTTGGGGTTGTGGCTACAGGACACTTCAGACCATTTGTTCATGGGTACGTCATGTCTTGAAAAGTAAAAGAGAGGTTCCACTGGTACCAAGTCTTCGTGAGATACAGCAGACTTTGGTGGATATCGGTGACAAGCCAAGCTCTTTCATTGGCTCAAGGGAATGGATTGGTTCTGTGGAAGCTTGTCTTTATATGGATGAAACGTTTGGAGTAGGTTTGACTGGACCTGATAAAAGGGTTGTCAAAAGTATAGCAGGCTGCTGGCAAAATTCACCATCTCAGCTAGCAACCCTGCTGGCTTAGTCTTCCAGTTCTTTTGAAAAGATTGCAAATTCAGCCAGCAACTCCAACGAGCAAAGCTACCTTAAAACTTTGTGACAACCCTTTCAATAAGTACATTTTATACTCTTGCAAGCATTTGTTTTTGCTTTTAAGTACAGTTATTAAAAATTGTACACAAGAGATCCCTCTATATAGCAAAGAACTTCATATTGTATTGAACTGAAACATTGTCTGTGTGTGTGCTGTTAAAAATGGTGCATGACTGTAATGTCAGAGTAAATATTTTTTTTCAGGTTTGTAGCAAAATTGTCCATGTCGCAAGAGGGGACTGTGCTGAACAAGAAGTGACATTAGTTCTCCTGGAACATTTTAAACACTTTGGCTCACCAGTCATGATAGGTAACTTGTTTTGAGCAATATATTTCACCTATGTCTGGCCCATTACCCCAGGGTATAATATGGCCAAGAGTGAAGGAAGTTCTGCCTGTATCCTATTATGTACCTGGGCTGGGTTTCTCAAAGCCTGATCAAGATAACCCAAAATTAGTGAGAATTTTGATTTCAGTTTTGTAACTTTGGGTGCTGTTTTCTGTTTATATTGTTTGTCCTTCAGGTTTGAGTTTGAAAAATCTCAAACTACACAAAACATAAGCATGAAAAACATTTTTATACAAGAAAAATGGTTACTTTGATTAACTTTTAATCCTGGGTTAGCGTTAACTGGCTTTCGAACAAGCCGGCCCTGGAGACAATTTTCAGTATATAATGCTACTGGATTAGGAGACTGCACAAGCTTGAAATTGAACCACATTGTTTTGAATTGCTGACCTGGAATAAGATGCTGTGTCAATAAGTAAATTTCTATGGAGTGGTGATTAAATGAAACTGTTTTTTCAATTTTATGTTCTACTTATAAGGTGGAGATATGGATGCTTCTTCCAAGACATTAGTTGGTGTTTGCAGGACAAACAGAGGTTTTCACTTCTTGATTGCAGTAAGACCCATTTGATACCTAGGTGTCAGTTTATATTGTGATACTAGACAATAGAAACTCTATCTAGCATGGAAATACTGCCTATGTTTTTGGTAAAGAAATAATTAAAAAAGGATTGTGGATGAGTAACCCACACTATCTCCTGTACGTTCACTGTACTCAGTACTCTGTTACAACTTCAGTAGGTGTTGCCGCAGGTGAGCCTGCAATATCAAGTTCACACACAAGGAGGGCAAATTGGTTCTAAAGCAAATCAGCCAACAAAATATGAATGACCTCATTTTAAATCACCTCATTTTTATGTCAATCTGCTGAGAACTGCAACAAAAGCTATTTTAAAGTTGAGGATTTGTATTCCTGGTCAATATTCATGGGGGACTTCTTTATTCTTCACCTGTTATATAATTATCTGTTGCAACATGCTTATGTGACCATGGCAAAAGGTCAGCCAGATACTGAATTCTTGCTCAATAAATCAAAAATAAAAATAAATTCTCTTCTCTGTAGGATCCACATTTTTATGGAAAAGCTGACAAAACACTCCTTCAAAATGATGGCTGGGTTAAGTGGAAGCACTTGGAGGAAGTTTTCAAGTCAGATTCTTTCTATAACTTCTGTCTACCACAATTAAGGTCAGAAGAAAAGTGATTTACCTTATGATCTGGATCATTCACATTCTAGCTTGAGGCTCTTAGCTTGTGATTAATCATTGTCAATCTTGAATGACATTTTCTCAAGTTTACAGTACTGTTTCCAAATACTATAACTGCATGGCAATAATATGCATGGTGACTAGCTTATTTATTATTTAAGTGTTGGAACTAAGTGGGACAGCTATGGTCATGTCAATTTTTGAAACAATAGACTTCAAACTCAGTATACTTTGTTCATTATGTGAAGCTTTGCTTCATTTGATAATAATTATATTTCCATGAGCAAAACTATCAATAAGTCAGATCCAGGTTTGTTGAGTAGGAAATGGTGAGAAAAGTGCATGCAAATTTAAATCTTGTTAATTTATAAAAAAAATGTTTTATAATAATAAATATAACAAAAACTGGAATTAAGAAAAAGATAAAATGTGAATGCTACATTCTATAAGTGTATGTACGATGTAAATCTTGGCCTAAGGAGGTTACAAGTGGATACATTAAGTTGTCCAGTGTGTGTCATGACTTTGATGTTCATATAAAAACGTTATTTAAAATATGCCTATATGGGAGTGCCTATATGGGAGTGGTTAAGTGATCATTTGGTCAATGATTGATAGTCAACTTGGTCCGTGGTCAATATTTAAGGCTGCCCCAAAAGTTTAAATCTGACAGGGGGTTACTAATGCTCCCTTTTGTGACTCTTTCCTTACAATTATTTCACGGTCTAAAGTATTGACAAAGAAACTCCAGCAGCAATGACAAACAAAGTTGATTTCTGAGCTTCATAGCTGGGGCTGCTCTGGGGGGG